GCCCATACCGTTGCCATGCTCTCTTAATGCATGACATCACCCACTCGCATGCATCAGCGTGGAGCACTTCGTGCTCTGCGCTATCTCAAATCAACCTCTTCCTTTGGTCTCCTCTTTCAAGGGTTTGAGGGTGCAAGCATGCTGTATGGCTTCACAGATGCAAATTGGGCTGGGGATATCACCACCCGCAGGTCCACTGGAGGATACATCTTCATGCTTGGAGGGGCGGCCATCTCTTGGCAGTCAAAGAAGCAGAGCTGTGTGGCTCTATCATCCACGGAGGCAGAGTACATGGCTGCGACCCAAGGAGCCGGATAAGAGGTCTTTTGAAGGAGCTTGACCTCCCACAAGAGAGCCCTACTCCCATCTTCATTGACAACACGTCGACCAAGAACCCCGTCTTCCATGGAAGGACCAAGCACATCGCGACGCAGTATCACTACGTTCGAGAGCTTGTGGAGCAGAAAATTATTGAGCCCCTGTTTTGCCGCACGAGTGAGCAAGCGGCGGATTTCCTCACCAAGGTTGTTGCACGCGACATCTTCATCAACAACCGAGTTCAAGCCGGGTTAGTCCCAGCAGTCGGATTTGAGGGTACGGGCATGCAGTGAGGGGGAGTGTTGTGAATGGCACGCTCTTCACGTGCCACGCTACTGTGCCACTCCAACCCCTTCCCCTCAAAACACCCTCGACACATTTTCCTAAGAACCCATCCAAACCACTCAACTCCTCCAAAGCCCATTCCAACCACCCAAGTTACAAACTTCCTTTTCCAACTCATCCTCTCCAACTCAAGCCTATCAACCACCTCTTTAATTACTCCCAACCACCATAGCCATTCCTAATCCAACTCAACTAAGACTTCAACAAATTTTTCTATTCACCTCCAAGTCCCACCATAAGGTACATGACTCCTCATGATTTTCCATGTGCTTTCTTTCCTTACTCACCAAATATTATCCAAGTCATCTACCTCCTCCAATATTCCTCCCTCCATGTGCCTTCGAGGCACATGCTTCCAATTCCTAGTCATCAACCTCCACATGCCTCTTATTTATTCCTTCCTTCCTTCCTTCCTTTCCCAAGTCACCAAAGTTGCCAACTCATCCCTCAAGGACTTCATGATTATCCCATCACCTCCTATTCCAAGGCAACAAAGCTCATCATCTCCTCCACTCATCCTTATCCAACTCACTAAGCTCTCTTCCAACTCAACAAGGCTTACATCTCCAACCCACCAAGTGCTCAACCACCACCACATGCTCCAATACTACTCATCTACATCAAGCATCTCTACAACTTCTCAAGAAGGTTCTTCAATGACAACAATGCATTCCAAGCTTCTTCATCAAGCTCCTTTCCAAGCTTCTCCTTCAAGCTCCTCTTCTACTACAAAGGCTCCTCACTAGCAACCAAGTTCTATGTCTCCAAAGTTGATACTCTCATGCTACTCTCTTCCAAGGCTACCATTGATGGTTACTTTCTCTATGCATGCCTATGTATCCCTCGTGGATCTATATGGCTTGTACTATACCTCTTTCAATATAAGTTTATGCTCATAAAGTTCCTTTTCACCTAGACTACAAAGCAGCTATCAAGTGAAGAGTCGCTTACCCCATACTCTACTAGAGTATAAGGAAGCTCCAAGCTACAAGCTAAAGGAAGGACCATCATCCTACCCAAGGCTTGAAGTCACTCCCAAGTAAAACCCTCAAGTTGAAGTTCTTCTCTCAAGTTACTTCTACAACTATCCCTAGTAAGATTCACTCAAGTAAGAGTTTATCACTTTTCTTATTCTCTTAACAATCTCACACTCTTCTTCTCTTTTGAAATCTTATTTCATCAAGCATTCCACCTTACACAAGTTTCTCTTTATAGTCACAAGCTCTAAGCTTCATCTTCTATTCTATCAAGCTCATCCTCACATGCTACAGTTCCACTATTCACTCTTGTCTTATTCTAGTGTGCAATCATACTCTTTTGTCCTTATCTCAATTCTTAACAATAATTAGGGTGGGTCATGCTACATTCATGCTAAGCGGGTCATTTTTGTTTGTTTGCAATTCACTTAGTAGAATTCTGTTTGGTGCACAATGGTCGAAAGCGGTGAAATACATTTGCGGTTTAACACCGTAGTTTAACGTATTGAACCGTGCTGAACGAGCTCCCAACGAATATACGCCCGTGGAGGAGAAACTAGTCACGAGCTGATGTGCAAGGGATACAAGAAACCTGCGCAGCGCAGCTGTAAAATTCATACCTTGTGAACAGATTCGTGCTCAATTTTGACAGGCGGCACTCGCGGCGATTCCACCACATCTCAGGGAGTGCAGTTATGCATGCCTGACGCCACGGCGCGAATGGCGATTTCGGGTAAAGAAATGGCGGGGATGGGTGGATTAAGGTTACGGCAAGTCTACAATACATATTCGTCATATAATGGTACAAACATCCGTAGGAGAAAAAATCATAAAGCCTGCTACCAATAGGACCATACTATATTCCCCTATCCTTCGGACAGCCCTAGCCAAGCTGAGTGCTTTATGAGAAAGGGGAAGTTAAGGGTGAAGGTATGGGTCTCCATTAGGGATGAGATTGAGGCGAATAAGAGATTTCAACAAAACCAAAACAAAGGAATCGTAGGAAGATTTCACTGGCCAACAAAAACTGCTCTAGAATAAGTTGTAGGAGGAGGATTTGCCGAACTTGCGGCAAGAGGAAGGAAGCCTAAAGAACAATAGCAGATGACTGACACAAGGCCTGGGTGCTTCTTGCATGGCAGCCATCCGTTACAACGATGCAGCCAGGTGCGTAGCCAGGTTTGTAGCCTGGTGCATAGCCAGGTGTGTAGCCAGGTGCGTAGCCAGGTGTTGAGCAGCCATCTGAAACAGAAGCTTGCTTAGGCACCTTTAGGTATTGGTTCATCTTCAGCTTGGTGTTTGAAATCTCATGCCTTGGAAGCATGACTCTTGATGAATGTGAAGGGCTCCAGCGGAAAGCCTGGAGTTAACAGAAAATCCAGGAGCTGACTGAAAAGTCAGGCGTTGACTCTGGTGAAGCATGACTGGTAGGGCTCGATCACTGGAGACATGTGCTGCTTCGATGGAGGAACGGGAAGAGAGAAACGAGAGAAGAGAGGCAGGTTTTTAATGTGGCAGCTGATGGTTTGACATCCAGTGAGAGAAAACAGGGGGGAGGGGGGTTGAGAGGGTGGACGAGAGGAGAAAGGAAAGAGCAGGGGCAAAGTGGAGTGTAGCAAAGGTGGAAGGGAGCACAGAGAAGAAGTGGAGTGCAGGCCACGAATAGAGAGTCCTATGAGTTTCTGAGCCGGTGTGGACAATATCCAGTTTGAAAAACGGGAAAAAATATACATCCTACAAGAAGTGGAGCACGGGAAAGAACAGAAGGTCAATTCGTTGTGCTGCTTCTTCTGCTGCTGCCTTTGCTCGTGACTCTTCTTCTGTCTCAGGTTTCGGGTCTTATGCTTGAAATTGCTCTGTTCCCTCTCTACCTCACACACCCCTCGTGCACACATCCATGCCCACGCACACACGCACACACCCACATACGCACACGTGCGCGCGCGCGCACACACACAAACACACACACACACTAGGCTGTGCATTTTCTCTGATTCTCTCTCCATTCTTCTCCCAATGCTCTTTCCCTCACCCACCCACACCCTCTCACCCCCAATACATTCCCTCCCGCACCCAACCATAACCCCTCACCTGGACGTGCATCACCCACCCACCCACCACCCACTCTTGGGACAACACCAACCCAGCCGACATGCTCCCACTGCTTCCACATCAATCGCCCCCAGTCGTTTTCACCGACTCGTTCCCTGAGCGCGCTATACGCTGTTCAGCCAATGTACCCAGTCACCTTTTTCTCTCACCTGGCTGTGCAATTTCTCGTCTCCTTCCACCCTTCAGGCACGGAGTACCCAAGTGTCTTCACCCCACCACAGAACATCAATGTCCCCGAAAATTCCGAGTCGCGCGAAGGCACCTCTAGGGCCAGGTCGGCTACTTTATGAATGCAGCCTATGTTGCGCAGAAAGAAAGCCTTGCAGAAGCGGAGAGACACCTGGCTGCGGCGCCCAGGGATGGTGAACACAGCGCCGCCGAGGCCGCAGCGGGCACCGAAAGGGCTGACGGCCTGGTTTCGCTTGAAGGTGGGTTGGGAGAGCGTGAGCGAGACGCCGTCCGAGTAGATGCCTCCCCCATGAAAGCCTGGAGGGTGGACGGGTGGGATGGGGACAAAGGATGTGGTAAAGCAGCAAGGTTTAGCCTGGAAAAGATGGTCGGAGGGTTTGAGGGTCTGAGAGGGAGTAAGCAACAACAGTAGGGAGAGCTAAGGATCCGGCAATGGAAGTAGCATGGATGGGGATTCTTGAAAGGGCAGGTGATTTTGGAGACAGGAGTGCTGTTTGAGAAGAGGCCTTCCCCGGAAGAGGCCTCTCTTTGATGCGTCTGGGATAATGGAAGGGAGAGATGCGGATGTTACTGTACCAGATCTTTAGCCATGCTAGAAAGGTCTGTGGCACTGACAGGACCGCCCACCGAATACACAAAACTCCGGGTTGGCTTTGGATGGGTCTGACTCTCTCCGGGTTGGCTTCGGAGAAGACTCAAAGGGTAACAGACACACACGCACATACACGTGCGCACTCACGCACGCATGCACGCACGCAGTCACTCGTGTGCACACACACAAACACACATACGCATGCACCACGCACGCAAGTACACACGCACGCATGCACGCAAGTACACACGCACATACGCACGCACGCACGCACGCGCGCGCGCACGCACACACACACACACACACACACACACACTCACTCACTCACCAGCGAAATTCCCTTCAAACGAACACTTCATGCACCGAATGTCGCCATTTCCTGCCACTGTCATTGCTCCTCCACTGGCTTGGTATGCGATGTTGTTTCGGAAGCGGCAGTGCACAAACGTCACATTAGCCGCACTGCCTTAGGGATCCCCCAAGTTAATGCTAATGGCACCACCCTTCCCAACAGTTGCCGTGTTGTTTTGAAAGACACAGTACACGAACGTCACATTAGGCCCGCTGCCCTCGGGGTTCCCCTCGTTGATGTTGATTGCACCTCCCTCCCCAGTGGGTGCTGTGTTGTTGTAGAAGGTGCAGTACGAGAAGAAGCGGTTGGGAGGGGTTGCTGCTTCAGGGAAGGAGTCACTGGTGGGTTGGGGTGGGTGGGGGATAGAGGAGAGTGTGTTAAGGGAGTGAGGTTTGCTTCTGTGGAAGGTGCAACGAGGGAAGAGGTGGTGGGGGAGTGATGGCTGTTGGTGAGGAGGAGTTGCTGGTGGGTTGGGGAGATGTTGAAAGGGGGGGAGGAGGGGAGGGAAGCGTTGATAGGAGGCAATGGGGAATGAGTTAGGAGCCCATCAGTCACAAAATCCCATTAGGTTAGACAGACAATTTTGAGTCGCGTCAAACAACACTTGAGCAGGCCTCCCGTTGATGTAGCATGATTCCATGCACACCATACGCACTCTCACGTGCACCATACGCACTCTCACATGCAACATACGCACTCTCACATGCACCATACACACTCTCACGCGCACCACACAAACACTCTCACGTGCAGCACGCACTCACGTGGGCAACTCACACACTCTCAGCCGCACCGCACACACTCTCAGCCGCACAACACACACTCTTTGCCGCACCACTCACTCTCTCACATGCCCCACACACACTCACCTAAGCACTCCTCTCGCTCCCTCATCTTCCTTCTATCACTCACACCCAAATTTCCTTCTCTCTCCCTCATCATACCCCCAACAGTCCACCCCCTTCACCTGAAAACCCCTCCGCCAATGCTAGGACCCCTGTTGTGAACCAAGCCCGCATACAGTGGCGTGGACCCTCACCTGCGCACCCCTCCTCCTCTTCCCATCACCCTCACCTGACCACCCCTCCTCTTCTCCCCATCACTCTCACGTGCACACCCCTCCTCTTCTCCCCATCACTCTCATCTGAGCACCCCTCCGCCAACGCTTGAAGTCGTGTTGCTGATGAAGCTGCTTAGCACTGCTTTGACCCTCACCTGAGCACCCATCTCACCCTCTCATCTGCCCCGCAAACACTCCATTCCCCTCACCTGAGCACCCCTCCGCCAACGCTAGGAGCCGTGCTTCCGACGAATCCGCATTGACTCGCGTTGATCGCCGCCCGCACGTTGAAAAAGACGCCTCCTGCCGCCCGCTGGAAGTTGAGGTTGACCAGAGTCAACTCTCCCCCTGTGGGGCCGGACGAGGGGGAGGTGAATATGGGGAAGGCGCCACCCCCGCTGATGATGCACCTGGTGTTGGGGTTGGGGGTGTGGGTGGGGGGTGAGGGGGGGGACGGAGGAAGGGGAGGGTGGGGGGAAAGGTGCAAGAGGATGGTTTATAATGTCGCTGCATCCTATAGCTGGTAACCCTGTAACCCGCCGGGGAACCCTGACAATGATTGTGAGAGTCAAGTAAATGCGCCTTCTTGTGACAGTATGAGCCAGAGCGGGGTCCAGATCACCAACCTGACCCGTTGAACTGGCCGTTCCTAACAGTAACCCTAGCCAACAACGGGTAACTTTGTTACAAACTTGGCGGCGGTACAATTGCCAATGATGGTCAGCTTGGCCGCGCCGGAGAGTGCGGGGAGGGCGCTGGGGGAGGAGAGGAGGGGGAAGGTGTAATGGGGGAAAGAAGGGGGTCGGGCGGAGAGGGGGGAGCGAGGGGGAGGAGGAGGGTGGAGGGGCGAGTGAATAGAGAGGGGGAAGGGCTCATGGAAAGGGGAGTAGGAAGAGAGTGCAGTCGACTCAAGCAAGGCGAGACGAGAGGGAGTGGGCTCAAAATGAGGAAATAATACACGTTGATGGGAGGCCAGGTGTATGCGGTCGGTACCAAAGTAACCGGCGTTTTTAGGCACGAGGGGGCAAGCGCACACGTGGCGAGAAGCGACATGTGGCAGACGTGGATTCATGGGGAACTCACGCTTTGAGATGCACGTTGGATTTAAGAACGAGCTCTATGGGCGACGCGCTTGCTTCTCTCTAAATTCACGCCATGTGGACACACACCCACGCCACGTGGATACACACAAACACACACACGCAAGGGTGGACGTGCTTGAATTTATGTAACTCCCTCATTCATTTGAATTAGGTTGAGAGGCTATCACACCATACTATTAGCGGTGTTTCTATCTATTCTACGTCGTCGCTAGAATTTTGAAACACCTGAAATAACTATCGCATACAGGAGGATAAGAACCTTGTCCCGCGACACATCTGTCGTCAGCAATTTGTGTTGCGCCCCACTTCGTCGCGATGTGAGTCGTTTCGATTGGACTAGCTTTTCGTAATAGCTCGTGACAAGGAGATCCCTCTCATGGCTGCGCGTAAGCTCCCTACTCTTAATGTACTACGGAACATGCTGAGCTTGTACTATCCGGGTGAAACTACTATCGTATCGCGTTCGCCCGGTTGATGGCATCGTCCAGTTTCGACGCCGCGACAGTCGCGAGACCGCAGATCATCCCAAGGAGCGATGCGACGAGGAGGGAAGTGATGAGCTGGGGTGCTGTGATTGTCTTCCTAGCACGAACCATCCTGAGCCTGACGACTGTAGGAACCGAATTGGATTTTTTTTTTTAGGTATATCAGTAGCAGAGAAGCAACTGCGGCAAGACTTAGCACTTCGATCGCGTGCTATCTTTGTTAAAAAAAACCATGTGAGTGAAAACTAAGGAGCAGATGTGCAAGATCTTCTTTACCCGAGAGCCTAGACTGCAAGATACTCACCGCCGCAAGCTACAACCACACGCTAAGTATAAACGTTCCGCGAACTGACCACAACATCGCCAGGGCGCGAGCCTCTGTCATTTCACCGCATCGCAGGGTATGCCTGCCAGGCGCCACGCCACGAATGGCGGCCAAGGGAGTGGGAGGATGCATCCTACATGCGCCCCGTTTTCTGTTGATACGCCACAAGCTACATCACAAAAAACCTGGTTCGGTGTTGGAGGTTCCGAAAGGTTGCACGCGACAAAAATGGGCCACTGGTTTTCCAGTGGTTTTCCAACCGTGAATTCACCGACTTTCGGATGGAAACCCGTCAGCCAGGCTGAGTCTCGCCAAGATTTGAAAAAGGCTTCCGAGTCGCGTCAGAGATGAACCAAGTGTCAAACGGAATCACCTGATTTCCGTCGGATTTCAGGTGGGAATTCCAAGCCAGGAATAGTGGTGTAATGCTGATGCATAATTGAAATAATAGAGATGCGTACACTATACGCAATACCCCTGTTGCTCCGTATATGTTTCTAATTGTTAATAAGGAACATTCAAATAATTTTAATTGCCAATTGGTTGGATGCCAAGGGTTTACATCTCCTTTTAAGGTTCCTGGTTATGTCTAAGTATGAGCTAATTGGTAAAATAACCAGATGTTGAATCTGATAAAATAATTATCGGTGACGACTCATAAATGTCAGATGCTTAAAGAATTGGATACTTCACTAAATTATGTATTTATTCATGAAGTATACATCAACATTAAGACGCGTCACCTGCCTCGATTGATCCTGCGCAGGATCGATTTTTGATTCGGTTCATAAAGTTTTCAAACAAATTAAAACGCAATACGCGGGATTTTAGTGCGGTGGACGATCGATCTTCCTCGATTTTGCACGATCGATCGAGGGAGGTGACGCGTCCTTAGTAGGATCAAAAGACTTCACAACGTGGACATGACCCAGAATAGAATCAATGGGGATGACGGTGAACGCGCGGGGATTGTACGAACTCAACCGCACACATCCAATCTTTGCGTCCATGTCCGCTGTTCTATAGAAATTTACGTATGCAAGATCATGGCGTTGTCCTTCAATGAAACAATGGAATAGCAACAACAGCTTTGTGTAGGCCACTCTCTCGCCATCACACCAAACAGCAATGTGTGAATACCAAGGTCTCTTATGGCACTCGGGGGTTGCTCTCACGAAATGAGCTACCCTTGAGGCGTTCTTGTCAGTTGACACTGGCACTGCCATTGTTGTGTGGGTCTGCCACAAGTCCACGCAAGACGCATTAGTATGTGTACGTCTGAGGATTATGTTGCTTAACAAATGCGGAACAGAAATACAACATAATAAACAAAAAAAAACAATGAAAACCATGAAACATACTTGAATGGATTGCGCGGTACAGCCGTAATCTGCAAGAGCATTCTGCAATGCTCTGTGTGCACTTGGGTGCTGCCACGACCACCGTGATGCGAAGAACTTAGCGGATGTCGGGTCACTTGCAGGAGAAACTGCAAGTGCTTCGGATTCCCTCATCAAGAACGCTCGTCCTGTGTCCATCGCCTATGGTAGGGTGAGTGGGGACTCGGATATGAATTCGGGAACGCGGAAGACCTTAGACCAGGGAGGTTGATGAGGGTTTAGAGGAGGGTGAGTGTAGGGGAGGGCAGAGCAGGAGGGTGGGAGCATGGGATGGCAGAGAGGAGGGTGAGGGCATGGGAGGTCAAAGAGGAGGGTGAGGGCATAAGAGGGAAGAGAGGAGGGTGACGGCATGGGAGGACAGAGAGGAGGGTGAGGGCATGGGAGGGCAGAGACGAGGGTGAGGGCATGAGAGGGAAGAGAGGAGGGCGAGGGCATGAGAGGGAAGAGAGGAGGGTGAGGGCATGGGAGGGCAGAGAGGAGGGTGAGGGCATGGGAGGGCATAGAGGAGGGTGACGGCATGGGAGGGAAGAGAGGAGGGACACGGTTCGGGAGGGCAGATAGGAGGGTGAGGGCATGGGAGGACAGAGAGGAGGGTGACGGCATGGGAGGACAGAGAGGAGGGTGAGGGCATGGGAGGGCAGAGAGGAGGGTGAGGGCATGGGAGGGCAGAGAGGAGTGTGACGGCATGGGAGGGAAAAGAGGAGGGTGACGGTTCGGGAGGGCAGATAGGAGAGTGAGGGCATGGGAGGACAGAGAGTAGGGCGAGGGCATGAGAGGGAAGAGAGGGGGGTGAAGGCATGGGAGGGAAGAGAGGAGGGTGAGGGCATGGGAGGGCAGAGACGAGGGTGAGGGCATGAGAGGGAAGAGAGGAGGGCGAGGGCATGAGAGGGAAGAGAGGAGGGTGAGGGCACGGTGTTGACAGCAATAACGTTATGCGGAAGCGACTAAAGCTTGAACTACAAACTTTGCTTGGCAACACTTAACATCACTTGCAGCCCTTCGAGTGTGACAGCTTGTCACTTCCTAGCCAAGGGCGTAGAAAATAGCAAGTGAGTAGTTATGCCTTGCTCAGCTTGTAGGAAGAGCAAACTGGTCGAGAAGAGTTTCGGCAACACCAAGGTAATATTTCTACTCTCGTCAATACGAAGTAGTAGAATGCGAGCTTGAAAAACGCAAATGCATTAGATTAATTTCGACAGGTACAAGTATACATTTATATAGATTCTACGCACAGGCAGGAGCAACTAGAAAACAGTTGTTTAACTGGCTCGCAGGATTTCGCCACGCTGTATCTTAAAAACAGTTGCACAACTCCTTGAGCATTTGGCTATATCCTCCTGTTGTTAAAAACTGTCTTCAAATTGCACTTGTAACAATCACCCCTGCTGACTCAAATGTGTACACTCATGAGACTCGCATGTTGCTCCAATGTAGCTCAAATGTCTTCATGCGAGCTCACAGTTGTATAACGGTTTTTACCGTTTGAAAAACGGAGTAACCGATTTGCACCTGTGTCGAAATGATTCCGCAAAGCGAAATGACTTTCGCGAGAAATTTCCCGTCCCGTGAGTCAACTTGGAAAACGGTTTTTCAACTGTAAATTCCGAGCACCCCTCGTGCCACATGCACGACCGAGATTTTTTCTCGGTCGTGCTGTACAGCGCGCCATGATCGTAATCATGCGCGTGTACAGTACGGGACAGGGCCGAAATGGGCCCTGTCTTGTTGCGATCGTGCTGTACAGCACGCTCGCAACAGTACGCAGCACACGCGCGTGCTCTGTGGTCCCACACGCGCGTGCCTTGACCCACGATCGGGTCTTGACTTTCGCGCTTTTGACCAGCGCGAGAAAAGTCAAGGCACCTCTTGACCAGTCAAAGAACCGAGCACCCCTCGGTACACCACCCGCTCTCATGAGGCTCCAATAAGTCTCGCATGAAAATTCGAGACTCATGGGACTTTCATGGTCGCTCGCATGAGCCTCGCATGAAACATTTAAGTCCCATGCGAGCTTCGTTTGAGCTCCATAAGGTCTTCATTTGAGCCTCATTTGAGAGCTTCGCATGAGTCTCATTTGAGAGCTTCGCATGAGTCTCATTTGAGCGCGTCATGAGGGCCTCATTTGAGCGCTTCATGGGAGCTTCATGAGAACAGTGAAAACGAAGCTGAAAATGCAAAAACACAAAATGCACTTATGAATAAAAACGAAACACACAAAACGCAAGAACAAATGCGCACAGAACGTTCACAAAATGAAAATGAAAAATGCGCACACACACAAATATGCAAAATGCGACGCAGGCGGCTGGTTGACGTGCAAAAAAAATAAATATTTGCACCCAACAAACTCCCCCTCAAGCAGTCGCCTGCTTGCACTCACATTCATGAGCCTAGTTAAAGCTCATGCCACTCAGCTTAGCACAGCGCCAATGAGGTTCCTCAGCCAGCCGCTTCGTGAGGAAATCAGCCGGCTGCTGCTGCGTTTTCACGTAGAGAGGCTCAAGGGTTCCCTCCTGCACTTCCTTGCGCAGCCAATGCCACTTGATGCCCATGTGCTTGGTAAGCCCATGTAGTACCGCGTTCTTGGCCATGGAGATGGCACTGGTATTGTCACAGAAGAGTGGGGTTGGTGCCTTCTGCTCATGCCCAATCTCCTCCAGCAGCTTGCGTAGCCAAACCAGCTCCTTGGCCACATGGTACATTGACATGTACTCAGCTTCAGCAGACGATCCTGCAGTTTCAACTTGCTTCTTCGACCTCCAGCTCACAGGTCCTCCCCCAATCACACACAGGTATCCACCTACTGAAGACATGTCCTCTTTCTCTGAAGCCCATGATGCATCAGCAAAACATGTAAGAAAAGCTCCCTCTCTCCCAAATGCTCCCCCTTCTCCTTGAGAACTTCTACTCCCTTCTTCTTCCTTTGTGCCATAGCAGAGTACTGAACTCCAATAGTGGGGTAGGAGTTCAAGTACTGGATGATTCGATCAGCTGCATCCACCTGCTCTTCGGTTGGATTCTGCACCACCCTAGCCAACTGCCCCACTGCAAATGATATGTCCGGCCTGATGTGCACTGCTGCATAAAGCAAGCTCCCTACCACGGACTTAAATCGTGCTTGCTCTCGCTGATCCACCCCCTCATTCTCTCCTGCCTTTACGAGCTTGAACTCGGATGGAAGTGGTGTGACAACCTTCCTCCTGACTTCAATCTCATACTTCTGCCCCATGTCCTTGATGTATTTCTCCTGGTGCAGCTTCACCCACCCATTGCTGATGTCCCTCTCGATGTGCATGCCCAAGTAGTAATTTGCCTCCCCCAGTGTCTTATACTTGAAATTTTGCATCAGATTCTGCTGCACCTTCATCACCTCCTGCTTGCTACTCCCGAACAGCAGGATGTCGTCGACATAGACTAGGAACATGACGAGGGTCTTCTTCTCCCCCATGAGGAAAAGGCTCTCGTCACATGCACTCGCCCTAAGCCCATCTCCTCTAACACCGAAGACAGCTTCTTGTACTAGCAACGTGGTGCTTGTTTGAAGCCATAAATGGCCTTCTTCAGCTTGCACACACGCCCGGTACCATCCTCATAACCCGGCGGCTGCGACATGAACACCTCCACATCTATCAGCCCATAAAGAAAGGCGGTGGTTATATCCATCTGAACTATCGCCCACCCACACACGGCTGCACCGGCAAGTAAAACACGCAGTGTTGGCGGCTTCGCAGTTGCAACAAAGGTCTCTTTGTAGTCCCCCCTTTCTTTCTGTTGGTAACCCCTTGCAACCAGCCTGCTCTTGTAAACTGATACTGCCCCGTTGTTGTCAGTTTTGATCCTAGGAATCCAGCCACAACTCATGGCTTTCTTTCCCAATGGCAGTGGCACCAACTCCCACGTCCTATTCTCCATTTGACTGTTATATTCAGCATCTCGTGACACTAGACACTTGTCCCTATCTGGTCCGTTAAGGGCCTCCTCCATGGTCAGTGGCTGAGTCGGTGCAGGTGCCATGAAGCAGTATACCTCCTCCTGAGCTTCCTCATCAGAATCACAGCTGCTCTCCAGCACCAGTAATGCATCAAGTTGCTGCTGCTCCCCCCTTGTTCCTCCTTCACCCCTTGCCTTCGCCTTCAAGGCAGCAGCTCGCATCTGCTGCGTCATCATACATGAGAAGGTTCGTCCTGTGGGTTGGGGTTTGGTTTGGGTTCTCCTTGGGGGGAGAGTGGGGGGAATGACACGTGTTATGGGATGGGACGTGTTATGGGGTTCTTCAGGTTCAGCCATTGACTCCACACTCTTAACCACGGGGAGTTCTGCTGCACCCTCATGTGCCGTTGCAATCTCCTCCTCAGCCCACTCCTCCTCCACCTCAAAGCCCATGGTTGCCTGCTGCAGTTGCTGCACGAGCTGCTCTTTTGGTTGCTTGGACCAGCTCCCATAGGTGATGTCTTCCATGAATTTGACATCCCTACTGTCGAATACGACTCCCTTGCTCGGCTCCCATAGCAGCCACCCTTTGCTTTCCGCTGCCAAACCCAGATGCACACACCACACAGCTGTTGCGCCCAGCTTGTTGCGATGTGCTTTGGGGATATGAGCCACAGCCATGCAGCCAAATACACGCAGCATGTCAATGGGTGGCTTCCTCCCCAGCCACCTCTCCATGGGGACCCATGACTCACCACCGACGTTGGTGAACACCTTGTTCTTCACCACCGTGGCGTGGCACATAGCATGTGGCCACTTGGAGTTCCCAAACCTGATTCGATGAGAAGAGCCCGTGCTGTCTCCAAGACCGTGCGGTTTGCCCGTTCTGCTACGCCGTTGGATTGTGGTGTGTAGGAGGTGGTAAGTTCCCGAATGATGCCCTGCTTCTTCAACCACGTAGTCAGCTCCTCCCCAAGGAATTCTCCACCCCTATCCGTCCTAATACGCATCACCTTGTGCTGGGACTGCTTCTCCACTAACGGCAGCCATTCATCACGGATTATCACTGGACGTGGTCCTTCTTCTTGATGGGTATGCCCATGTCACTCGGCTCCAGTCGTCCACGATGGTGAGGAAGAACTTCTCACCACGCTCCCCCACCACTGGCAGCGGCCCCACCACGTCCATGTGCACTAACTCAAGCAGTTTCTTGCCGCCACCCTCAGTTGCATGGAATGGGAACCGAGTGAACTTGCTCAACAGGCAAGTTTCACACTTGTGGGTTGCTGCTGCACCTGTCAGCTTTAGCCCCTTAACCCCTTCATCCTTGTGCAGTTGCTGCAGTGCGGGCATAGCAATATGCCCGAGGCGATGGTGGGCTGTGCTTGGTAAGCCCATGTAGTACCGCGTTCTTGGCCATGGAGATGGCACTGGTATTGCCACAGAAGAGTGGGGTTGGTGCCTTCTGCTCATGCCCTCCATCCGGCTCTCCTTTACCTGTGAGGCCACGGAAAGAAGGGCAAGGATTTGAGAGATGGCAACAAAAACAGAGCCCCCTCTTGTACACCTATGCCACTCCCTCCATCCGGCTCTCCCTTTACCTGTCAGTTGCAAGGTAAGAAGGTCATACAAAGGGCTTGTAAGGCTAGGAGTGTGGATTGAGGTGTACGCTGTAAACAACGACCCATGTACAGAGCCCCACGCATGCCTCTGGCCCTCCTACCCTCCTGGATTATGTCACTCCTGTAAATGGAAGGGTAACAAAGCACTCAAAACCAGCATGGTATGATGAAGGAGTGTGCACTGTTCAGAACCCAATATGTGCATGTTGCTAAAAAAAACTTATGCCTAGGGCACCTGTATAACACAAACTAAGGATCACATGAGCACAAGACTATGCATGAGCGGGGAAATGGCGAGAGCTC